ATGTTTGGAGACAGGTGATTCAACCAAACGTCATTTCTGCTTCGGGCGGTCAAAGGGCTGGTACGACCACTGCCCGTGGGAGCTGCTGGGTATTGGAAAGGGCTTTTGCAAGAGTTTTGGAGCAGGTAGGTGGCACAGGAGTTTGCGCACCGCACTTTGAACCCAGCGGCCTGAATTCGATTCTCTACCACAGCTAACATCGGTGACAAGTAATCTCTCAACCGGTCCTAGGCACACCCCCCCAACCCCCCCGCATCCCAATCCCTTCACCACACGTACGAATGTTGACCAGCATGGTGAAGTATAGCTACACGGGCAGTCCTCGGCTTACGAATATAATTCGTTCCTGAGAACGAGTAGGTACGTCGAACGGTTCGTTAATCGGAACACAGCGATGCACTGCATTTAAATGCCCATACGGTCAGTGCTATGAAACGTGTTACGGTTCAACAAACAGGAAAACATTGTTCAACTCATAATAAAGAAGAAATATTGTACATTTGGATTAAACACGTTTTAAGTCGATGTTTTTTTTTTCATTTAATGGACGCTGCTTCGTGGAAGTACGGGTGTTCGTAAGCTGGGTGTTCGTAAGTCGATCACTGCCTGTACAACCCCCATGATGAACGTGGCACGAGGGAGACCTTTTCGAAGCAGTGGCTTCTTATTTATATGATTATTATCATTTCAGTTGGCAGAGCATGGTGGCACAAAATTACGGCATCGTCAAATAAAGCCTTGGCCAGGCTCCAGCTTTGCCCAGGTGCTTTTGTAAAAGCCTGCCGGCATCACGTGTTATGATATTACAGCAGTGGCTTGAGCCATTACTGGTATATCACAACAAGTGGCAGATTGCTGGTTTGAAGAGCCTCCACTCGGAGCTCTAGAAACGCCCTCTCAAGTGCACACGGCAAGTCTAGGAGGAGGTGGTAAGACCCACACTTTGCCCCACCACACGCAAACCTGCCGAAACGACTGCCCGTGGTTAAATCATTAGTACCGCCGAGTGGACAGGAACTGGGTGGATTTTTCGACACTTTCCGATCGCTCCAATGGCCACGCCGCTGCGGGGGTGGTGGAGGGAGGGTGTCAAACTGGCTGACCTCTGGGCTTGCTCACTCTCAAATCGAGAGATAACGCTTTGTCTGTAAGCTCCCGCAGCCGTGGGTTCCCGGGAGGAGGGAGTACTTCATCTGGCTGGATTGGCCCACCACGTGTTGCTGCACTCTCCAGGATGGCTTCCTGCTTTGAGCCTAATGTGATGCATTTTGGGAAACTAGGCCGGAGCGGTTGAGACTAACGTTTTGGCACCGCCGGTCACATCAACGCCGCTCCTGCCAGGCAGATGTTGCCGGATGAAAACAAATTGTGGGGAACAAGAGAACAGGATTTAAAGCTTTCGTGACTGCAGGGATTCATCTGCTTGGTTCTTTCGGTAAAGTCACGTAGAAGGGAAGTAATAAAATAATAAAAATAAAACATAATAAATTAATTCTCACGACGTTTCGGCCACAATGCAAGCAGCCGTCCTCAGGTGAAGAACAGGTCTGTAGGAAAGACAGCGTCTGAAACAGCGTCTGAATCACCTGAGGATGGCTGCTTGCGTTGTGGCCGAAACGTCGTGAGAATTATTTTATTAGGTTTTATTTGTATTATTTTATTATTTCCCTTCTACGTGACTTTACCGAAAGAACCAAGAAGATGCACCGCTACATGTTGGCCTACGCTTCCACTCTGCCTGGACATCTTGCGGCGTCCCCATTTATACCGCTGGATGGACGGAGGCGGTGCGGGCTTATTGAAGAAGGATTTTGCCCGCCCTCACCCCCCTTCTCTCCTGCCTGCCCCCCCACCCCCCATCCCCTGCAAATCATAAAAGTCATAATTTTTACGCAGGTCTCACCCGCTTTGTGGCGAGATATTTAATATCTCGCCAGGAGGTCTTGGGTTCGATGCCAACCCTGACACCTGTTGTATATTTGGAGTTGCGTGTCTCTCTGCCCGTGGTTGCGTGGATTTTTTCTCCGGGTCCTCCGGTTTTTCTCTCCATATTTAGAATCAATGTGCGTTGAGAGTATTTGGCTGCAATACATTTCTACGTGATAAGCCACTTTGTTGAGATATAATTTGTGATAGCCAGGTCGCTTCTGAAAAATACCGATATAGCGCAAGTGGACCTTACCTGGTAAAATGAACAAGTATAACCCGTAAAAACAAAGTTTTTCACTATAAATCCTTTATATGCGTGGCGGCTATTAAGCAATTGGTAATTAATATAATATTTTTGTCCTAAAAGTGTAAAATTTTGGAAAAAAAATTTCACGAACATTAATTGTCACGCACAACGAGTCTGTGTGGAAAATGTCAGCTCGATTGGATCACGGGAAGTGGGTTAAAAAACGACCGAAAGATTTGCACGGTCCTAAGCAAGCAAGTGAACTTAATATAAAGGTTTTAAAAAATTCACCCGTAAAAACAAAGTTTTTCACTCTAAATCCTTTATATGCGTGGCGGCTAGAGTCCTCTCGTCCTCTGGCTTGAGATGGCTGCCACCTATGGGTCAGATGATTGTCTGCAGTATTAAACAATTGGTAATTAAATATTTAATTTGTTTTCCCTAAACAGTGTAAAATTTTGGAACAAAAATTTTCACGAACATTAATTGTCTCGCACAACGAGTCTGTGTGGAAAATGTCAGCTCGATTGGATCACGGGAAGTGGGTTAAAAAACGACCGAAAGATTTGCACGGTCGTAAGCAAGCAAGCAAGCACGCAAGCAAGCAAGCAAGCAAGCAACTTAATATAAAGGATTTAAAAATGGTTTTAGTTTTCTAGTGCATATATCTTTTTTTTCTGACAAAATGTATACCCGACGATGCAACAATGACTTTTCTCCAGAACCCAATCGGGCCGCCCGTGCGTCTGTCCAAAAGCCTGAAGCGAAGCTCGTGCGAGCGTCCGGGTAAAAAAAAAAAAAATCCCATTGTCGATGATCAGCACCGCCAAGGGCCCACTCGCGAGAAATTCCTGCCCTCGCCCCGGCTCGCTGGCCTGATGCTTTAGCGAGCGCCACTGGTGGTGTGCGACAATAACACGAATAAATAAACATGTACCACTCCGCGTGAAATGATGAAGACCTCACAATTTACGGGGAGACTTGTTGGCAGAATATTGACACAATGCTTTACACAAAGCGAGCAAATTACCTCCAGATTTTGGCCAATTATTCCGCGGAATTTACACGCGTGCCTAAAAGATCCAACCCGGCCCCCCGCTACATATTTAGGGCGTTATTTATATCTCGAATTACGGGCCATTTGTATGCGCGGGAATATTTATGCACTCGCGCGTACCGCATTTGCGACCTACCTGGGAACACATCAGCCGAAGATTTGCCATGCCCCGGTTGTGCCAATAATCCTTTGCGATGTGCGCGGAACGAAAGCCTTGAGATTTGTCTCGGTGAGAGAGCAAAAAAAAAAGATAGAGGGTTGCGGTTTGTGTTTTTTGGTTGTCGTCACGTCCAGCTCGGCTGAAAAAATAGGCCTTTCTGTTTTTCGCGAGCGTGAAATGCTGCGAAAGGTTTCGCGCGGCCCGCTCGTAAAGTGGATGCGCGTAAATGTAGCATTAGCAGACGGTGGCAACAAAGTTCGTTGGTTGTTTGTTATTTCTTTTCCTTCACGTTTTTTTTTTTTTGGCCAGGATTTCATGGGAGGCTCCATCGATTTAACCCCACCACCCCCCACCACCACCACCACCACCACATCCTCCGACCAGCGCTCCCCTCTTCCATCTCACCCTCCACAAACGCACGCGCACACTCGCGTGATGCGTTGCGATGGATTGTTGCGATTTGGAATCATCGGGCCCTTTATTTGATACAATAATTGATTTTGGTTATTTATTTTACCTTTGAGTTCTAGCCAGGGTTGTCACATTTAGTGCTCGCGATTCCTTCCAATTATAATTAGTTGGTCCACCCAAAGACCTCGTCCGATCAGTTTACGACCCTTAGTGGGGAGCTTTTGTTGGGGTTTAGCTCGACTGATCACATCTCGATTCAAATGAATGACGTCCACTTTGCTTAGATGATGGTTTCCGTTGTACTCAAGGTGACCTGAAGACACCTCACGCTTCGAGAAAGCGACCGGCTCTCAACCAACGGGGGAGGATGAGGATGAGGTGGAATAGTAAAAACTGAAACAAACAAACAACCTCTCTCCTGAAGACCCCTCTCGTGGATAGCATTTAGCGCCTGCCTTAAGCAAGAAGAGAGTAAAACATGATTCGTGCCTGTCTCTTTGTGTCCCATGGTTGTTTGTGTTCTCATTCATTTGTACAATTTAGTTTTGCTCCAATAGCATCAATGTCCCATTAAGGACGTCAATTGCACGCATGTCAATTGAATTCAACTAACCGTGGCCACTTGTTTGGCACGGAAAGCTGACGAGAGTCAGGAATGTGATGCGCGGGAAAAGAAAAATGACTGGCAAAAGGGAAGAGAGAAGAGAAAGAATGGGAAGCAGGAGGAAAATTATAGACAATGAATGTAGAAATCGCAGCAAAGGTGTCAGCAAAAATGAGGATCGGAAAAGGTTGCATGAGGGCCTCGACGCTGCTGTTGCTGCTGCTTCACGGAGCGGAGTCTGTTTTCACAGCGGGCGGCGGAGTCACAGGGGAGGGGTTCGGAGTGGGCGTAATCACACACGGAAGTCACGCAGTTCGCGGGAGGCTTGAGCTGAGTTCGATTTACAGATTTGTCCAGTGTTGGCGCTAACCACTGCACCACAGCAACATCGCTCACTGCTGTAACAAAAGCCGCGATCATCCTCCACACTCTCCGGCCAAACTCAACGTGGCCGTCAACTAACCAAGAACCACGGTTGTTCTTTCCCCACCTGTCCCCCTTACCTTTCTTCCCCACCTCTCTGCCCCATTCCCACACCTTACTCTCCCCTTACCCCCCCACCTCCCCACCACCACCAATTTACTGCCAGAAGGGTTGAGCTACGTGTTTGGTGCCGGCGGGGGCATGGTGACGTACTCGTGGCCGAGCAACGGGAGGCCGAGCACACGTGCCGATCGGCTCACGCTGGGGTTCAGCACCCTGGCACCCAGCGCCGCCATCCTGCGCGTCGACAGCCAGGACGGTCTGGGCGACTTCCTGGAGCTGTACATCGTACGTACATTGCCCGCGTGCACGCACGCGCACGTACGCGCGTGCTAAGTTGGTCTACTGCCGTGCTGGTTTTTGTGTTTAGTTTTTTTTGTTGTTCTCCCGGTTGGCTACGTGCGGTGTGAAAGAAGTTCAACATGCATACATAGAGACCCAAACATTTACATAGAGACCCATAGACTCAATCATACACCCACAGACTCAGAGAGACCCACAGACTCACACAGAGACCCACGTACGCATAGAGACCCAAAAACGCACATAGAGACCCATAGACTCAATCATACACCCACAGACTCAGAGAGACCCACAGACTCACACAGAGACCCACGTACATATAGAGGCACAAAAACTCACATAGAGACCCATAGATTCAATCATACACCCACAGACTTGGAGAGACCCATGGACTCACATAAAGACTAAAATTAATTCAAAACGAATTTCTTTAGAACTGATGTCTGTGTTGTTTTCTTTCCCCTACACTTCCAACTAGCACAGTTGGCTACGTGCGGTGCGAAAACAGTTCAACATACATACATCGAGACCCACAGACTCAGAAAGACTCACACAGAGACCCATAGAATCACATAACGACCTACAGACTCATATAGATTGAAAACCCTGGATTGAAAACTATTTTATTTTTTACAGATTTTTGTGTTTAGTTTATTGTCCTTCCCCCTCAACTCCGATTAATTACATACATACAATGATAGACGTTTGTGCTGCTACTCGTTTTGTTTGATTCGTGTGGTGTCGTGGTTGGCCAGTGGGCCAGAATATGGCTTCGGGAGTAGACCTCGTGTTGTGAATCTCTGAACACGCTGCCGACGGGCGTTGGTAGCGGGCAGTGGCGTTACGATTGCACTTTTGCACCAACGTGTGCATACACTGCAGCTACGAAATGTCCATGTTTGTCCAGGAGATTTCTGGTTTCAGAAGGCTGTTCTGGTGACCCCAACCCCCACCCTGCCCCCTGCGCATCCCCCAAAAAATGGGGTTTGTCCTCGTTTGATATTTTCTTGGTGAGGTTACCTGGCTCGCTCCACCCACTACCTGAGTAGCCCCAAGGCTACCCGCTCATAGACCCCGACTGCTACTCAGATACACACATAGTGGGTGGGGCTAACCGAGCAGTGGGCGGGGTTTACCTGAGCAGTAGGCGGGGCTACATTAGCAGTGGGCGGAGCCAGTGGAGGGAGGGGCTGACAGCCAATTAGGGAGCTCCTGAACTAGATTTTAAGCTTTCGTGACTGCAAGGATTCATATTCTTAGGTTTTTTCGGTAAAGTCACGTAGGTAAAAAAATAAATAATAAAAGTCAAAGTAAAAATAAATAAATAAGTAGAATAAAAATAATATTTTACTTTTATTAATTTAATTTTTTACCTACGTGACTTTACCGAAAAAACCTAAGAATATAAGCTCCTGAACTTGTATCCAGACTTATTGTATTTACGTACCTACAGGCACGCCTTCAAATGTAATGATGGTGCGTACTTATAAAATGCATACAACACACACACTCACATGTGTACCACTAATATGATTTGCTAAAGTGTGTACCTTTATATTTCATGCGCTCAAATATTGCCCAATGCGTTCAACAACAACAACAACAACAAAATCGTGCAGCTACACATCTGCTATGATGTGTACCCTTTGATGCACCAGATGTCCTCGCACACATTCCCACACATGTCCCCCACTCTTGTAAGCTGCATGCGTACCCGCACGTCCTCATTATCACGATCGTTTATCATTTATATTGTGTGTCACACATGCGTGGCAGGTGTCGAGACGCCGTAAGGATTTCGACATTAAAACCTCACACGTGGGTGACGGATGAATCCACGCACACACACAAAGCGAAGACAATATCAAAATAATAATAATAGGGTTTTTGCCCTTTTTTCTGGCAACAAAGCTGAAACCTTTTTACAAGGAATCATGTGTGCATTAACCACAATACTTATGGTCAAAATGCAAACAAAAAACATACTCTGATAATATATGCATTGTCCTTGAAACTGATTGGTCCACACCAGAGACGGCTTTCTTTTGAGCCTCGTCTCAATTGATGCTAGACCAGAGGACGCCAAAAGGGGAAAACCCCTATTATTATATTTTGATACCGGCAAAGGAGGTCTAATGAAATATCTAAATACATAACTTAAACATATTTAACTCGAAACACTGTTAACGGGTTTCGTGCTCAAAGGTAAGTCGGAAATTACCGGTTTGCGTATGATGTTAATGCAGAAAGCACATGTTCTGATGCACACGAAACTAGTACGAACTTGTGTGGGTCACTGTGCGAGCGTAAGCATCTCTGCGTAATCCTGTGGATTCTCTGTATGAGTTTGAGGGGTCCTCTGTGTGAGTCTGGATATATACGTGTGGTCGTCACGCATCCTGATTGGGTGCCGTCTCACCACCCAGCCGCGCACAACTGCTCGCTCTGGGCATGTTTGAGCCGCCTTCACAAACTCCGCATCCGTCCACGCGCCACTGGCCGGTTGGGCAAGGTCATCGGCAGAGGTCGCAAACGGGGTTTGATTCCTTACCCGTACCCGGCCGTACCAGGGTCGCAAACGGGTACCCGTACCCTACCCGATACCCGGCTACCCGTACCCGGCCGGGTAGGGATGCCACGGCTGGGTAGGGTACGGGTACCCGATTGCGACCTCTGGGATGAAGCCATGTTGCAGGCGCGGGTGGGTTGATTCTAGGAACTTGAATTGTGAAAAGAAACAAGACGTTGGGAAATGAGTGACAAATGGTTACTCACCAGTGACTCACGGCCTTCTCACTCATTGGTTGGGGTGAGTCACGTGCGGCTACACGTACCCGTACCCGGCCGCACCAGGGTCGCAAACGGGCAACCCATACTCGTACCCGGCCAGGTACGGGTAGCCGTGTATCGGGTACCCGATTGCGACCTCTGGTCATCGGGTAGCGTCGCCCCTTAGTTGGTATCCACAAACACGCTCGGTGCGCCAGATCCGTTGAGTCACACGTCACACTTTTCTTTTTGAACGGTGGCAGGCGGGGGGAGGGTGCATGGTGGAGGTAGGATTTCTCCCCCCCCCCCTCCCCCCTTTAATTTTAGCGAGCGAATCGCAGCGCTCGTGCGGAACGTCTCCTTCGCTGGTAAGATGCCCCAAACGTCCGCTGGTGTCATTTATTTTTTGCAAAGGAAGACCGAGGCAGCGGAAACGGCTGGGTTGGGGCGTGAAGGGTGGTGCCAGTGCTGCGTGGCAGGATCGGAGCGGATGCTGGCGGTCACTGGGGGAGTGGGAGGGATGCCACGGTGGGAAGATGTTATCTCTCTCTCGTCGGTATGCAGGAGGTCATGGGTTTGATCCTGACCCTGACGATGCCTGTATAATTAGAATGAACGTGCATTTAGAGTGCTTGGCTGATATACAATTCCGCATGATGATAAGCCACCTGGCTATCATGAGCCATCACTCATGATAGCCAGGTTGCTTCTGCAAAAAAAGAGCTATACAGCTCAGTGGGCCTTGCCTAGTAGAATAAAATAGTCCTTGCACATGTGGGCAGTGTGGGGAAGGTGGGGGGGGGTGGAAACGAGCCAAGCCCGACGATCCTCCAGGGAGCCGACACCTAATGCGTCCGACGCCGCTAATTGAATGATGGATGGTTTTTCTGCAGAGCGCGCGTCAAACGCTACACGGGGAGCGTGCGAATGAGGAGGGAGAAACGTTAAAAGAGTTTGGCCTGGCCCGCATTGCCGCTGCCGCCGCAGCACATGTGGCCTAGAAGCAAAGACACAAAATCTCAGTGTTACCATAACACGTGTGTCCTCGAGGCAAAGGCACAAAATCTCCGTGTTACCGCAGCACATGTGGCCTAAAAGGAAAGGCACAAAATCTCAGTGTTACCGTAGCACGTCTGGCTTAAGAGCTCGGGCTCAAAATCTCACAAATGACATCGGTGGTGGCAAGAGCTGAAGATTTGCCGTTGGGTGAAAGTTTTTTGCTCGGCGTGGAATGATTGTTCGTGATTCCAGCACGATCACCCGCTGGCAATTTGATGAATTATCCCGAGGCAGTGTCAAAACTCTGATTCTAGATTGGTCGATTTTTTTTTGTTAATGTCTTTTTTAGATGACGGAAATAATGTTTTAACAAGTCATAAAATTCGTGTATCGTGAGTTTAATGTGCGTTATCAATCAATGAATGTACGAAATATGCCACCCCCAGTGTTTACATATTCAAGATACACACCAATAATTTGGGGCACTGCTAATTTTCGTTATTTTGTGAAACATTTTGACAATCGCCAGGCAATCACGGTCATCGTCATCATCGAGACATTTCCATCCCTCGTGCCGGCTTCTGTCGGTCCTCGCTAACAGCACTTGCCCAAACAGTCTCCTGAAGGCTACACGGGGGGGGGGGGGGGAAATCTTTGCCTTTTGTATATTATTTGCAAGCACATATGTTGCCATGTGACCATGCGCAGGTTTGTGGTCGGGGTTCGTAAGCATGAAGCTTGAGAGATAAATATTGAAACGTGCAATAGCTCTGACACGAGCAGTAAAGCCCAGGAGAGGGATAAAATGATCGTGGCTGTGACATCAACTGAGAATGAGCGGATTGATTTGTTGTCTACAACCGTAGATTTTCGCCCGCGAGAAACGTCTGGGCTGCGGTCTTGTTCATGCTTTTTACAATTAAGGGCCCGGAAGAGTGACAATTCTACTAAATTTGCTTTCTCAAACTTCCGATTATCTTGCTCTAATATTACCGTGCTGGTTTGTTTCAAGTCCATTGTCTCTCCTACGATAGCTATGGTCCGGAATTGCACACAACTCTCTCATTGTCCTCTACCCAGAGGTGTGGACTCGAGTCACGTGACTTGGACTCGAGTCAGACTCGAGTCATGAATTTGATGACTTCAGACTCGACTTGGACTTGCATAACAATGACTTTGTCCCACCTCTGAGGTGTGGACTCGAGTCATGTGACTTG